TTTTGTAATGGAAAATCAAAGTGTTTCTATGGGGATCTTTCTTACTTTAGTATATCCTTTATGAAATCTCACATTTTTTTATCGAGAAGAAACACCAATTTTATTAAAATTGGAATAATAAAATTGTTACAAGGACCAATCAAAAGTGGACAAATCGTCCAACCAAATGATTAGTAAAACAAAAGGATAAAAAATAGATATAAAATAAAAGGCATGAAAAATGGAGCCACATTACAATCCACATGATGCAGTCCAACTTCCGGTGATACTAAATAGAGGAATATTATCAAAGTCTTTTGTCACCGATTCACCAATGCCCAAAAAGAAGCTGATCCCATAAGCTCTCAGCTTCCTCCCATTTATCTTCAAAGGAAGATGGTAAGAGTTTGGGCAAAAAAAAAAAAGTTAGAAGCTATCACTGATATAAGAGATTGTATGTTAAATTTTATTCGTATTCATAGCAGCTTTTTTGTGTGGATAAGGTAATGAGCAAATGATTGAAACTTGACACAGTAATTAAGTTCCCCAACTATGGTACCTTTTTCCTTGATAGTATCGTGACAAAAGCCAAGTTGAAGCCATATGATTCATTAGGTCATATGTAAATTTAGAGTCACTACTCGCCAATATCATGCACTAATTGTGAAATTTTCTTCAGGGCACTCTTACTGCAATCAGGGACTGGTTCAGAGACTACAAGATCCCTGATGGAAAACCTGCTAACAAGTTTGGTCTTGGCAACAAGGCAGCAAACAAGGTATCTTAGTGAATACTTACTTTTATTACTTACATTCAGGAGTGTCATGCTTGAATCAAATCATTCTATCAATGATGAAGGATCTTGACACCCCAGAATGATGTTAAATTTGCTCTCTAAGTGTAAGAAATTCCATTTTCTATCCATTCAGAGTTTTGTCGCTGTGCTTATCTCCTATGTTACTGCTCTTCGACCCTTGGCTTCTGTATATTGTATGTGAAGTGGACTATTTCATAGCACATACAATTGTGCATCAAAATGCATGTGGTGTCTTTACTTGTTAAGTGCACCCCAAATGTGGAACAAGAAGTTGCATTATGATAATCTCGACAACAACACCTATATACCATATTGCTTACGAAACTGCACTGCCATTGGACCTTGGAACAGTTAAATTGTGGAATTTGCAGAGTTCACATTTCGATTACTTACGGATTATATACATGAAAAAGTCTGAAACTGAGTATAACAAATGTGTGTTACTTTATACATGTATGAGAATTGCTCAATGAGTTTAACCATGTTATGTTGTTCACTTAAACTTCAATAAGATACGAAGCAGTGTTTTGTTTATGTTATCCATGCTGTTTATATAATGGGACTCGGTGGTGAGTTATAGAGTCGTGGGACTTTGTACGTAGAATGATTTTGTATTTATTAGAATTGCCCATGTGGGTGCCTGCTCTCACAACCAGCATCTCTCCTCAAAGTGAAAAAGAAGGGGAAAAACTGCATCACAAAAATGGAAAACAAAAACACAAACATTTGAAGATAATTATATACAATCCAAAAGGTAACTCAAATGGTAATAGAAACGAGCTCTAAATTCAGACGTCTTGAATTCGAATCTTGACAGTCAAGTTATGAGGGATTTATTTCCATGAATATTCTAATTCTGGAGGGAATAACCTGTTTTTGATTGGATTAGAGAGAGGATTAATCGAAGTGCGTAAAAATTGACTCAGACACCCCTGACTATTGAACAAAACAAAAAAAAGATAATCACATGCCAACCAA